CGCCTGTCTGTTTCTTCAAGTAGTGGGTTCTTCTTGTCGAGCTCCTCCCAGTCGTAACAGATCACACAGCGGCCTTCATTATCGCGAACTTGTGCGATTGTATTTGTTTGTTAACACTTAAATGTTGGCCTCGCTGATTTCCTTATCGGCTACCGCTACTTGGATTTTCTCCCTGGTTGTGGCCTCATCTGCAGTTTTTATCAGGTCTTGGTTTTCGTGTTGAGTAGTTGCTTGCTTGGTAGCCTCCTTTTTGGCCCTATCTTTCTCCTCGATCATGTATCTTGTCTGCGTCACTTCTGTCTGCAGCTTTTGGGTGACCTTCTTGAGTAGTGTCACCTCAGTCGAGAGTAGTAGCTGGCTTTTTCTGAGTTCTTGGTAGCTACTTTGATCTTCTTCAGTTGACTTATTTATTATTGGGACTGATTACAGGACAGCATGACCTTAATATCTGACTGGAATTGAGTCATGTTGGCGACCTTGGCCTCTAAGCGTTTCTGGGTCTTGAGTGTTTCTTGGATTAGGCTTCGTAGTCATGTCATCTTCCCTCTTTCCTCGGTGCGCTTGACTTCGAATGCTGCCATTTCCCTTCTGAGGAACACAATCTCGGCTCTCTGTTGTGCAATCTCAGTCTGTAGCTTTGTCGTTTCCGCTGCAGTGACTAGAGGTTGGGCTATTCTGGACACCTCGTACCTCTTTTTGCCTGCTGGTGGAGCGATCCTGGTGACGTCAGTGGTCATTCCTTTCTTCAGGTACAGGCATCCGAGCTACCTAGCGCTGGGTCCCCCTGAACAATTTGAGCACTTTCTACTGGGGTTAGGCTTCCTGAAATCTGGATCAACTTTAGCCAGGGGCACTCCTTGAAGTCATGTGGACAGAGCAGTAGCGACACAATGGACTGCTGCAGCAGGTCGCAGCTGTGTGCCAAGCCCTATTGCAGCGTGAGCACTGCATGATGTCTCGGGTGTAGGCTCCAGGCTGCTGCTTTTGTAGGTGGGTGCTGGGGGCTCCATGCGCCACGACTGGGCGGCTTCAGGTGTTGCTGCTCCTTTCGATGGGGCTTCTGGTGTTGGCATCGCTCTGTTAGGTGAGGGTGGCGCACCGACAGGGTCGGCTTTTTCGATGCTGGTGGAGAAGCTGCGTCCACCTGGCTGGGGTTAGGCCTGATCGGCATCTTCTTTGGCTTGGGTGCGGCAGCTTGAGACTGTTTACATTTTACCATATCGGACGATGAGAGGTGCAGACGATTGGCTGTCAGCACGAGAGTGTTCACGATAATGGGGGGTTGCCTTTTGAAAGATGTGGTTATATACCTCAGAGTAGCTACAGACAGGGAACACCCTCTGTATGAAGCTTTGGCTGCAGGCAAGGGTCAGAGGCTGAAAATGGGAAAATCGCAGATGGCTCAAGCAGAAGACACAATAAGACAAGTATGCATGCTGGAAAACATTGAGCGAGGAGAGGAGTGGGTCAGAGTACCAGCGGGAAAGTCTGACCTGTGTAGGGTTATGATAAAACTGGGCCAGGAGTGCAGAGTGGCCAGCGAGTGCTACGGAGGTTGAAATCCAACAGTTCATTCACGACAATTCACGCCCAGGTAATCTTATTATCTATACAAATGGTTCAGTGTTGATAGGAAAGAGAAATGCCTGGGTGTTCGTAGCGAAAGCCAATGGAAAATCTTTAGTGCAAGGCAGCCTAGCAAATGACACCACAACATCTAGCATGAGAATGGAGGTGGAGGGGGTAACTGCAGCTCTCCGGTGGCTATAGAACAAGATGCATACACATGTCGTAACTGTAACAGACTCTGAAAGCATGCTAAAAAGTGAAGTCAGGGATGCTTCGAGCAGAGTGGCTAGCTTCACTGGAAAGGTCACGGGTGGTGAGCATACTTTGGATCTTTTCTCCAGATTGTGCCGGCGTGTTGGGTAATGAACAGGCAAACAGATTGGCTGGATCCCCATCACTAGGTGGTAAATTGATACATAACAAGGCAGATGTGGTCGAGGCTCCTTGGCAACAAGCAACGGAATCAGTACAAAAAGAAGATTATAATGGCCTGGAGAAGGAAGCGCGTGGGTATAACCAGAGGGTCTGACCGGCTCACTACACTCAGAGAAAAGGCAAGACGGATATTAAACCAGATTGTGACCGGTACCATCGATATTGGAACTCTGCGCTGGCTGCTGAAGATAAGGACGGAGCATTGCATGGGAATGTCCAGAGTGCTGTGATGTCAATTCTTGACAACTCTACTCAAATCAGATTTGAGTTATTTGTATCCAGATCTGGCTTTTTTATATTTGCAAATGTATCCCAATCTGGCTTATTTGTATCCAGATCTGGCTTATTTGTATTCAGACAGACCCAGCTGAATTGTATCTAGATGTGACTTATTTGTATCCTGATCAGGCTTATTTTTATTTCGATCCAGCTTATTTGTATCAAGACAGACCCAGCTTATTTGTATCCAGACAGACCCGCTTTATTTCATCTTTATTTCAAATAAATACACTGGCACTTTTACACACACACAAAGTTATCCAATGAAAGAAAAACAATAAGAATAAAGAAAGAAAGAAAAGTACAAATTAAAAAAAAAAAACATCGGAATGGCTCAGACTGGAAAACTTTAGGCAAAAGAGAAAACAATAAAATATACAGAAATAGTTTTACAGTGATACCTTGAAATCTAAATGCCTTAAAACTTGAAAAACTTGGAATTCCGAACAAAATCATTAAGTCAATTTTGCCTCAGAACCCGAATGCCACCTTGGAAACGGAATGCGACTGAGGTGACAACGCAAGAGCTCTCAACACTTTTACTAGTAGCAGAAAGAAGAAACTGCAAAAAATATCTCTTCTTAGGAGGAAGAGGGAAGGATTAGCACTGCTGAAATACAAGACCATGTAGTCAAAAACGCAAGAAGTCGTTAAGTGGTACCCTGAAAGAGACCTAGTTAAAAGTTAAATTTACTTATTCAATGATAACTTATTCAATGAAAACATCAAACTTGAAAAAAAAAAAAAACTGCCAACAACAGAGCACTTTGGAATGCTGGCTGTCATCAGAAACTGGTGAACCCCAAACCCTCTATAAGTGGTGGACGACTGTGATATGAAACACTGTAAAGTACTCCTTATGTTAACATTTTAATCAAGGTGCAGTAAAATTAATAGTTTCAAATCTTTTATTATTTATTTATGTTTGTTTTCAAATATGATCATCACGTGTTACCATATTTACAATGTACTGTATGTATTCTTCTTCTTCGTGTTCACCAGCTGTAAACTCTGGCGGAAAGTTCTGGTTGTTCATCCACTTTTGGACTGCAGTCCTGTTCCAGAACCTGAGTGTTGCATGTGCATCCGTTTTACAGATCTGACTCATTTGTATGCAGACTGCTGATTCCTTGCCTCCCAGGCAGATGCACTCCGACTTCAAAAGAAGCTCCTAATTAGTCGACTCTTACAACATGCTTTTGGGTAGGCAGTGGGTCTACTCTTGTTTTCCCTATAATAAGGCGCTGGAACCCACACGGGAGGTACTGTATTTTGGAAAATACATTTTAACATTTGTTTGTTGGACCCTGGAACAGATTTATTTTCCATTATTTGAAATGGAAAAAACTGACTTGGAACCTAAACGATTTGGAATTTGAACGCTGTCTAGGAATGGATTATGATCAGATTCCGAGGTATTTTACAAATATACAAAATTTGAAGCTAATTAAAGAAAAATCAAAACAAAAGACAATTAATTACCATAGTATACCTGAACATTAACTAGACTAAAAAAAAATTAAAAAATTGACTAATGAGACAAAACTGAAGAAAATAATTTGTCACATCAACACACAAATGATATGGACATGTGAATTTACAATAAGATATCTAATTTTAAATAAATTATTTAATCTGGTATCTCACAGATACTTATAAATACTACCATTCACCATAAACAATGTAGATTCTAAGCCAGGCAGCAGTAACACATTTTGCTTGTGAATAATCATAAAAGACCATTTTCATGCAAGTAGCACATCATATGATGGATTACATCATAACATGTCCATAATTGTAATACATCAACAGCTTATGAAACTCAAAATAAATCTACAGCCAAGATATTTTTTTTTTAAAAACACTTTAAACATCAAAATAGTCACACACACACAACCGGGAAGGCTAATCGGGTAAACAAATGCCCGCAGAAGTTGGATGTGTTGGCCGAAAGGCGCAAATATTGCAGCCATGCTGTAAACGGACACAACGCAATTACATCTTCGGATGAACGCAGAAAAAGAAGAAGAAGAAAATAGTCACAAGAAATTGAAAACAACAGGCGAGAGGAAAAAAATCAATAGATTCACTTAATACGGAACTTTCAGAAGATAGTCCAACAGTTCTCTGTGGGTTTTTTGTGTGTGAAGACTTGGACAGCAAAAACATATAACAGACACACACACTGCTCCATTACTGTTCTCTGCAAAATATTATGGCATTTAACATGGCAGGAATTTTCCAGTTTTTGTGAAACGATACTGTTTCCTCTAGGTATTAATTAATAGGTGAAGAATGTTACAATTTTTCCCTTTCTTGATCCATGATTGCTAAGTATTTATAGGCAACAACTGAGTTAAAAATAAAAAGTGCTAGTTTTTTTTCTTCCCCAAAGCTTACAAAAAAGTCAACAATTCACATCCATATACTGCTACTTAAAGGATGAATTTTTCAAACTTTTACCATTCGGCTGATAGCTGAAAACGTACCATCAACCTCAATGTTATTTAAACTCTTCAATCCTAAAGTAGGGCTATGTCTTCATAATTTCAGTTAAGCAATCTCCATTGTTGTTTACTTTGTACCATTTTTAATTTCTTCATGCTTAATTGTGATTTTTGGATTACATAAAGCTACAAATGTGGACACTGCATTTATCAATATCAATTAATTATTTAAAAGGATGACAAAACATGCACAGAATACAATAAAAGATATTAAAAGATATTATGGATGTGTTCAGCTTCCATAAGCAAAACAGTACCAGCTCCTTGCTCCTCATAGATTTCCTCCTGTGTTGGTGGTATTTTAATAAACTTGTAAGTTGCAAGCAACATAAGAGACAAGAGTCCCCCACAGACTACGAAGATCAAGTGATTACCATGTAAAAACACATCTTCGTGAAGCAACATTAAAACTGCACAGGAGATCAAGTTCAAGGGTACACGAAACCAATTCATAATGGCATAGCGATGCGCCTCAGGAATTACACGTACTCGCAACAAACTCATTAATGGGAAATATATGCCAACACAAAACTGGAAAACAAGAAATGCTACAAGTGATGTGTTCAAACTGTGTATTCTGGGATGGGTAGAGCAAACACAAACAAGTATAGATATTAGTGATAGAATGACTACAAACAGGAGAATTTTTGTGATAGCAATTCCTCGAGCTGATAAAATCTGAAAAACGGCCTGTCCAATCAAAATGCACACCATAAAGCATGAAAACACAATGCCCAGGGAAGGTTTACCAGGCTCCAGAATAGGAGTCCACAAAAAAATGACAATATACACAACACTTTCAAACAATGCTTCAATGGCACCAATCATGAAGATACGCTTGTTAGATACAATGTCTTTGAGTCCTTCATGACACAAATGTCCAAATTTAACCTTATGCATAGAATAGTTCTCGTTCCAATGAGTTGAGATTATAACTCCAACAAAGATCAGAAATGGGACTGCCATCATATATGGTGCAACTGGTCCAAGAGCAATCCATTCAGAGACAATATTTGTTGTAATACCAGCCATAACAGCCAATATACCATTCCACATAGATGCACGTTGAAATGTTATGGAGATCCACTCTTTCGGGAAGTCATGAGTTTCCAAATGTTCATGAATGTACCAAGCTTCAAAAGCTGTAAATAAGACAGATGTTGCAAGGCCTCCTACAAGACGGCCAATTAATAAAATACCATAGCTGGTAGACAGCTTAAGCAAGCATGACAATGAATATGTAACTGTAAAAAATATGCACAATTTTTTCCTTCCAAACTGATCAGCTGCCATAGGCGTCCAAGCACCAAAAATGACAGAGGAAGCAAACCCAAACACATACAAAACAGCAATCTGCTGCTCATTAAATCCATAATAGCTATAGAGCTTGTAGAGATATGGACCTTGCAGCCAATCTGCAAACATCGCCACTAAGTAGACAGCAAAATACCCCCGCTGAAATTTGATAAACTGTGGATTGTTTCCCACTGAAACATTTCGCCGGGTTCTATGTGCCCAGTACTGGAAGAGAAGGCACAATAGCAACAATGCTGCAAACATAAAGTAAGCTAAAACCATCATTTTCAAAGGTTTAATGAAGTCCTTCACTTTTCTGCCACAAGATGTTAATTGTCTCCACTATTTGACATTGTCCAGTAATTGTCTTTCTTCTGACGGCTGATTCTCACCACTATTGTGGCCTTCACCTCTAGTAATGTGCATGCCAAAATGGTTTGCCTAAAATAAATGGTTAAAATAACACAAGTCAAAACATTTTAAAATGCAATTAATATTCAGTTGCGCTTTTATTTATGAAACTAAATGAAAAAAAATGAAATGAGAAACAGGTTTGGTGTCTACTGTCCCCTGTTAGCTGCTGACGGTTTCCCATGTTAACAAAATGAAACATCCTAGACTAAGACTTAGTAGAGTGGCTCACATTTTGCCATTTTTTGTTTTGTGGGTCTGTAATTATTTTTAACATTTTACACACCCTATAGTCTGTAAAGCAGCGTCCATGGCTTAGGCATTGCGAGTCCGACTCGTAATCCAGCATACCGCGATCGAAACCCACTGCTGGCTGCGTGGATTTTTATCATGGTATGGGGCATTGCAGGTTGACCCAGCCTAAAATGGGTACCAGGATGGGCTGTCCTGGGAAAGTAAAGACAGCCGGCGTAATGCTGACCACATTACCCACAGAGTGCTGATGGTCTGTAAAAATATGGGCGCTCTTCCCATATGCCCGATGCGCCGAAAGGGATCTTTACTTTACTACTTACTTATAGTCTGTAAATGTTTTACATGGGTGTTGAAGACAACAGAAACATAAATATTCCATGAAGAGTTAATGAGAGGTTTCAAATGAGCTATGTGTTGTTGTGACATATTTTTTTTAAAACACACTGTATACCCATTATTAGATGAATACCTGAAATGGCATGATTTTATGATTCCAGACTAGTACAGAAGTGTACCTTTGCAACTTTTAAAGTCCTGTATTCCAAACATTTTCTAAAATTTCTTCAACATTCTTCCTTTTAGGTCCATAAATTCTGAGGAAATATTATTATTTTCAATAACCAGATATTATATAAAAGAACTCATCTCAGGTTCTTATTTCATCAGTTAATAGTGTTGATCATCTTACAGCTTGAATAACATTTTATATTTACATTCTGTACAAATAAAAATGTTATAGTTCTTTATACATTTTAAGTGTTACTTACAAGCTACCTGCTGACAAATTCTTATAAACTATATACCAGTTTTCTTTAATGTCTTTGCATACATTGACAGTACTATACAAGCACTGGTCTCTAACAATGCTGGTTGCAAATTTGCTTCAACATACATAAAACCCATATATGCATACATACACACAAATACATTTCTGGAAACAAAATATATTGAGAATAGCTTTAAAGACAAACCACTGTCTCAACAATGTAGCCACATTTGAAAGTAAGGATTTTTAAAAATAATGAAATCAACTATACATTAATTTCACAGAAAATCTCACTGTTGGCTTTCAGGTTAACTTACCAAGTATATGGCCATACAAAAACAGCTGCATTTTCGGTTATGTTTCTGACACATACACAGTGAACAGGTCAGAAGGGAAAATATTTTGAACGTAATCCAGAACTACTTGGAGGGCAGTAATTTACTCCAACAATGAGCTCTCATGATAATTATCAAGATTTTTGTTATTTCCTGGAATAAACAAACAAGAGAATAAATCAGAAAGCAAGGAAATTAGTGGTTAAACAACAGCTTACAATCACAATGAAAAATAGAAAACTACTAGACGTTTTAAAATTGTGTTTACAACATAAATAACTAACATTTCTAGGAAAAATAAATACGTAAAATGTTTAGACTTCAGAAAGTAGGAGACAAAAAGTAAAGTTCATTGTTTCTTGATGTAAGTTTAGTGAACACAAACAATACATTGCACAACTTACTGCCAGGCATACTTCGCTGTATCTCATCAGGAGCATTACTACTTTAATTAAGTTTAATCAATATGTAACAAAGCACAAAACTAAATAAATAAATCCAACTGAAATATGACTGGTTTTTCTTGATACACCGTGTCTGCCTAGAGATCAGACGTTCACTGAGGTCATGTGACATGCTGACACTGGCCAAAACTTTGTTCTTCACTATATATTGATGTAGTATATGGTAAATAGATATGTAGTAATGCAGCTGAGGAGATCCAGTGAAATATGCTCAGCAATGAACTGTGCAATGTATTGTTTTTGTCCACATTACTGAAATAATTACAATAATAATTTATCTGCAGAATTTGTAGACCAGGAAAATGCATTCAGCAGAGTCAAGAGTTAAGGAGGAAAGTAATAGCTCAATATGAAGTAAGTGAATACCTAATCAAAACGTGCAAAAGTTTACATCGGGATAGTATTTAAAAATAAAATCAGGGATAAAAACTATTCACACCAATATCTGGAGTAAGAATGGGATGCATCTTGTCACCACTGCTGTATATCACCTACATCGACAGTATATGCAAGGATGCAATAGCATCTAAAAACTATGAATAAAGAATGTAAAAATAATATGAGAATGAACACTGAAAAAAAAAGAGGTAATGTCAATAGGAAGAAATAAGCATAAACTAAATATAGCAGTAGAGTGAAAATGCTACAAACAGGCATCTATTTAAATATCTGGGAACAAAATTCACAGAAGACAAAAACATTGAATGAAGAAATGGGCTATCTTCCAAATAACGGTCCCAAATTATCCGAAAATATACCCTAACAGAGCCTCAGTCCTGTGTCAATAGCGGACTTCCGCCACCGCCGAGAGTATCTCCCACGCCGCTACGCGCTGCGTGGATTGGGGCTAAACTAGATGGCTGGGACTCACGAGCAAATAAAATGAAGGAAGCTGCAGGAGATGCTGTAGCTGCTGCTCGTGAGTCCCAGCCTTCTAGTTTAGCCAAAATCCATGCCGCACGTAGCGGCATGGGAGATACTCTCGGCGGTGGCGGAAATCCGCTATTGACACGGGACTGAGGCCCTGTTAGGGTATATTTTCACCCTCAATAATTTGGTTCCGTTATTCGGAAGATAGCCAAGAAATGTATATCAGATGCAGTATTGGGATAACTAGCTCCCCTCTTACAGCACAAGACAGTCCTGATCAACACAAAGAAACATCTCATACAAAGCATATTAATTCCCAGTCTATGCTACTAGCGCCAGACATTGTCATTCACACACAAAAATAAAATAAAAGTAGTAAATGTGTAAACGTCTTAAGTAGGGCTTCAGGAGTGACCAGAAAAGATAAAATCAGGAATTAGATCATAAGAGAAAAAAATCAGCACAGAACAAATTCTAAATTACACAACAAATCAAATGGTTTGCCTACTTAAAGAGAATAATTTGTGATGCCATACCATACAAGGCATATACCAAAACAGGAGAAGTAGGTAGACTCCGTGGTAAACCAAGCACAAACTGGAAAGATAACATCAGAGAAACTCTAGAAGAACACAATGTGTCTGTGGTCAAGCTGGCCAGAAGAGCAAGAAGCAGAAGCTTGTATCGACTATCCTCCAAATAACGGTCCTAATTTATTGAGGCGTAAAATATACCCCAACAGGGCCTCAGTCACGTGTCACTTGCCCACTTCCGTCGTCTTAATTTGCGCGCTTCCGGCGACTTCCACTACTGCTGAGAGTATCCCCCACGCCGCTCCCGTGGCGTGGACTGGAGCTAAACTAGATGGCTGGGACTCACGAGCAGCAGCTACCACTTCTCCTGCAGCTTTCTTAATTTTATTTGCTTGTGAGTCCTAGCCATCTAGTTTAGCCTCAATCCATGCCACGTGAGCGGCGTGGGGGACACTCTCGGCGGTGGCAGAGGTTGCCAGAAGTTCGCACTTTGGCAGTGTCGTTATAGTCCCCGGAAGTGCGCAACTGACATGTGACTGAGGCCCTGTTAGGGTATATTTTCCGTCTTGATAATGTAGGACCGTTATTCGGAGGATAGCCCCTTGTATCTTTGTCAACACCAAAGCGGTAACAGAGGAAGTGCAGAAGATTTCACCATCAACTTTCCCTAAACCTGCTGTAAAAGAAACTCCATGGAGCAGTGGGAAGGAGTCTGAAGAAGTAAACAAAATGTTTATTTCCTTTAATTTCCTAACCACCCGGGTCGTGACTGCCAGGTTTCGTTCTCCTGCTGTGCAAATGGAGTTTGCCTGAAAAGCATGATTTTAAAGACTCTCGCCCCATCTTGCATGTCACTAAAAACTACTCTCCAAGAGCCATCCAGCCTCAGAAAGGTGATGCAAGAGCATTTTACACACTTTCAGTATTTCGCTAGCTGTCCCTTCAGGGCAGAAGCAATCCAGCTTTACTTTACTCGGCCAGACATCTAGACTTTATCGCTATTCTGCCACTTGTCTGCTATTTTCTGAGATATGTTCATGGCCTTACCTTAGCCAGTACCTACATGGAGCCCGCTCTTTTTATTGGGGGGGGGGGGAGAGGGGAAACGCACTGCTGCATTGGTTTGAGGCCTTCTTTTCCTCGCCACTGGCTGCAGACGATCCTGTGAGTGATGTTCTGTTAATAGTCCAATAGCAGATACTGAGATAGGACTTCAACCAACATTCTTCTAGTGAGTAGGGGGCCTGATTTGTATGCAGTGTTTCTGCCTTGCAGAGTGGTTAATGGTTGCAAAGGACAGTCTGCATTGGTTCTTTACACGCTACTTTCTCCTCTGAGAGCCTAAAGTGGTTGACATTCTGTCCGTCGAGACCTGGGCCTGCCTGCTAAGACTAAGACCGCCCTGGTAAATACATCGTTAAGTTTACTCAAAAGCAAACAGGAAGCTTGCTTCGCACATGTGCCTGATTGTGCAAGATGTCCCCCCCCCCCCCCCCAAAAAAAAAAGCATTTAAAATCACAGAGTGGTAAGTTCAAGTAGGATTATTCTGAGATTTTAAAATAAAATTAAAAAAATTACGTGACAGTAGTGACAGTACCACGTTAAAAAAAACTACGTCGCAATGGACGGTACATCATACTACTTGTTGGC